TTTTCGTGTCCGGCAACGGATCGCAACCCTCAGTGTCGCACCCATACTGGACTGGGACCGGTAATGGGATCGCAACCCTCGGTGCTGCCCCCGCTCCTCGCTCAGCCAGTGAGCGGGAACCGGTCTGTATGTGGGATCTGAACCCTCGGCGGGAGCGCCGCCGCGCTCCCAAGTGGCGCACTGTAGCAGTGCTCCACCGGGCCGGCCCCTTCTTATATTTTTTTCTCCTGTTTTCCCTATTTGCCTTTTTGGTCTACTTTCTTGGAAACTTCATTGACTTCATACTTTAACTCTTCTTTTGATTTTTGTTTTAAATTGTGGCCTTTGTGTTTTTAAATCCAAGTACTCATTCTTGTCCTCTGATTATTCCTTTTTCATAACATCACATTCTTGTTTTATGGATGTGCTGTCTCCCTCTTATCTCTCTGAGGCACTATTTATTTTTCATTTGTCTGCTTTGTTTTAATATTCTTTTCTTCTCTATTTTGTCTTTGTCTGCATCTGGCTTCTTTTTGTTTGTTTTTTCTCTCTGTTTCATGTTGGATCCTTTCCTCAAATGCCAAATGTCTTGGCTGTCTGTTGATGTTTATGAATGAAGCAGTACAAAGCTGAACGAAATTCTATGTGCTTGGAAAGGATTTATCAACTGGGGCTTCACTATAGGAAGCAAGCCAGTCTTTCTTTCTGTTAACAAGCCTCCAAATGTCAGAATCTTTTCTCCAGAGCTAGGTTTCTCAACTTTGGCACTATTGACATGCTGAACCAAATAATTCCTTGTTGTCAGGAGCTGTCTTATGCATTGTAGAATGTTTAGCCTCATAACTGGCCTCTACCCACTAGATGTGATAACCAAAAGTATCTATAAACATTGCCAAACGTTCCCTGGGGGACAGAATCATCCCATTGAGAACCACTGCTTCTCAAGAGAAGCATTCTAACTTCTTGTTGCAGTTATCTATTGGTGCATAACAAACCACTGCAAAACTTGGCATAAAACAACCACCATTTTTTTATGCTGCAAGTCAGGGATTTAGAAAGGGCACAGTTCTTCTCTGCAGTGTCCGAGGACTACCTGGGATGACTGCAATGACTGACGATGGCTAGGATGGCTGGAAGTTGGAACAGCAGGGATAGCTGGAGGCATGGGGTCATCCAGGACTGTTGACCAGAGAGACTACACATGGACTTTCTAGCACCACAGCCTGGTAGTTGGGCCTCTTACATAGTAGTTCAGGTCTCCAATGTGAATGTTCTGGCCAGCAAGATGGAAGCTGCATGGCTTTTTATGGCCTGGCCTTGAAGGTCATGTGGCATCACTTCTACTGTAGTCACAAGCCCACCCAAATTCAGGGAAGAACAGACCCACCTCAATGGGAGAAGTGTCACCGAATTTGCAGCCGTATTTTAAACTCACCACACACTCGTATGGGATGATATATGTTAGGGGTGAGTCAGGGCAAAGTGGATGGGTAGGACATGGAATCCTACTGTTCGGTCTTCAGACTTTACCGTCATCCCTGTTTTCATCCCTGTATTCATCTGCCCTCCCTGCAGTCTGAGTCTCTCTCCTGTTCAGTGTCTTCATCTCCTGCTGTGTGGAGCAGAGTGTGGGAGTGCGATCTGGGGAGGATTTCAACCAGTTTCCCCAGTTTCCCCAATGGCTCCTATACCTTACCCCCACCATTGACAACACCTGGTCTCCTCAAGTCTGAGCTCCTCCAGGGCTCTGGGGAAGAAGCAGCTTGCCTCCTGTCATTGTGTCCCTCTGCAGGCCCATAGGCGACTAGCTTCCTCCACCTAAGCCATCATTCTTCCACCTGCTTCCCAGTTTCCAAGAGTTTGTGGAAATCTCTCAGCCACTCATATCTCCTTTACCATTCTCTTTGCTGTTGAGAGTTTAAGCTATTTGATCTTTTGACTGACATTTTAGTGGTGCTTCAGGAAAGAAAGGATATTAGGATATGCGAATAACCTGACATGTTTAACTGGAAGCCCTGTTGTACCTCTTTTGGGTGGATATATCTCTAAATTGTGTTATAATCTTCCCTGCCTTGTAACAGCTCTGTTAAGTACTATAATGACCATATTTAACCTTTTATTGATAATTCAGTCACATGAACATACATGTTTGCCTTGGAATTATTAAGCTAAGTATTTGTCCCTCCATAATGGGGATCCCAGACATTGCACTGGAATTCTTTAAACCTTTTTCCATGGCCACCTCTGTCTCTGGCTACCTCTTGTCCCATGTATTTGTGGTGAGGATGATGCATTACAGCACATTAGCTTCTAATTTACTCTTTAAAAATGGCTAAACCAGGTGATGGTGCCTGGCATTCTCTGTTTGCCATCCCCCCACCCAGCCCTGCTCCTGTTGTTTTTCCACCTTCTCCACGCCTCTCAAGATTTGACCTTTGTGGATTACATCAGCCAGGATCCCTCATGCTCCCAGTTGGGTATGGCCAATTGAAGACCCCAGCAGAGGTGGGGGGATGGGAGGAGAGTGATGTTGGGGTGCTTTATCTCTACAGCTCCCTCCTGTGCCAGGCCTCAGGTCAGCAGTGTCTGTGTTCTTCACCCCAAAACCACAACTCCTACCAGCAGCCCTCTC